AATATGATGTCTTCATTTTTTTAGTGTTCTTTTTAATTAATATTTTATATATTTTTATTATATATCAAGAGACAAAATTTTAAATCCACAATATATTACAATGCACCGAATCTCAAGCCTAAATAGTCAAAGTTTAATAAAAAAAAAAAGAAAGCAGCAATATCTGCGCACAATTATCTAGATAATTAACGAAAAAATCATACGATGTCCACCAAGGTGGAAGTATCAAAAAGAGGGAAAAAGGAGCACCTACATCTTTCTTCTTTCACACACATCATCATCAACAACATTCTCATCATGGACAACCTCCGAAGGAACATGTTTGAAAGACGCATCACAGTACTGTATGGTCCAGTTGTTCAAAGGCCGAAGTATTGGCTACAATAAAACAATGCTCATCATTAGTGTATATATATATATATATGAAGAAGTAATTTAAATATTTATAATGTTTGACAAAAATGGAGTTAATTAATTAAAGAGGGTACATACTATTCATTTCTTGGTGTACTGAATCGACCAATCATATGGAAGTTCGTATCAAAGCAGCACCTTGGGACTGAGGACATGTTTAAGGATTCAAGTATGGTGTCTTCATCTTCCGCTATAGCCTCATTCACCAGAATTTTCACCTCCTGCAAATTTTGCAGCTTCACCTTTTTTGACTCCTCCACATTGATTGTGTTTCCCACCATTTTCATAGAAAGCACAACAAGTTGTTTCAAGTTTGCTAGATCTCCAATGCTGAACTCTTTAGGATCGTTATGATCAACTCTCACAATGAGCCCTGTTACTTGTGTAAGACGAGTTAATCTCCTAACTCCCTTCGGATAGCAAGTTAAACTGAAGCATGCTGCAGTCTCAAGAGCCATCAAGTTGACTAGATTTTCCATCTCGTCCGGCAATCTTTCTAAATTAGAACACGAGTATAGATCTAAAGATTGTAAGTTGTGTAATCTACCAATTGCTTTAGGCAACCTTTTCAGATGAAGAGTATTCAAGTAAAGGTATCTTAAATGCAACAAGTTCCCTATTTCTTCTGGAATAGTTGAACCAGGATATCTACTCATTCCCAACACCCTTAAGCGACGGGCTTTATTAAACAAATTACATAAGGCCCCACAACTGATAACACCACCCTTCTTAGCAGAAATATGGAGACTTCGCAATTTTTCTACATCAGAAATGGATTCAGGAAAACTGAGGCTGCTTTCAGGTATTAATATCAAATGTCGACAAGTTCTTTCCGAGTTCATCTTCATGCTTTTATCACCTTTGGAGATCACCTCTTCCACAAATTCACCCTTTGTCAAAAAAAGAGCAAAGTCATGTACGAAATCATGCATCCTATACCTTGCATATTGACCATAGACAGGATGATAATCTTCAATTTGGAGGAAAGAACGAGCCTCTAAGCACTTTAAGTGCTCAAATCCTTTCAGTTCCAATAATGAATCATCACCATCATGAAAGCCTAAGTAACCTTGTGCCTTCCATTTTGCAATCAGATGATTAGTACAATAACCAGTGTCTTTAGAAAAGGAAACACAATATTTAAAGCATTGTTTTACTGGTGATGGTAGATCATAATAACTCAACAATAGAGGAACAAAAACATCTTTATGTACCACATCCAGCCTCCATAACTCACTCTTCATGACATCTTCCCATTCTTTTCTAGTAGTTTTAAACTGTAAAAGACCTCCCAGAGTCTTTGCAACAAGTGGCAGACCTTTGCATTTCTCTGCAATTCTCAACCCAATTGGCGTTAAATCTTCACAAGTCTTTTGGCTCCTTTCTCTTAGTGCTTTTTTCTTAAGAATGGACCAGCATAAGTCTTGGCTCAAAGTTTCTAAATAAATGGTGTGAGAACTCCCCATAGCTCTTGAAACAGTATCCTTACGAGTAGTCACCAAAATTCTACTTCCTGGAGCACCAGGTTTGAAAGTAGCATTCAGTCCTCCAAAGTCTTCATCATTTTCTGTCCATACATCATCTAGGACAAGAAGGTATTTCTTTCCTTCTATGGACTTGCAAATTTTTTTTAAAAGGGCATTTAGTGGAACTGACTCCATTTGGAGGACTCCTACTTCATCTAGGCCTTCAAGTTCCGCAATGATCATTTTTGCCACTTTACTCTCATCAAAAATGTTTGAAACATATGCCCAGATTCTGCTAGTGAAATGTTGTTTAACTTCTTCATCATTGTAGATCAGTTGGGCAAGAGCAGTCTTACCAATTCCTCCTAACCCTACTATAGAGATGGTTTGACAGGTCTCTCCTTCTTTGCTAGTCCCACACAGCAAATGACCAATTATTTGTTTCTTTACCTCATCCCTACCAACGATGTTTGACCCATCAATAAAACTAGTGCTTTCTTTTCGTTTTGGCAGTCTACTGGGCATATCTGTTAACTGATACCTTACTCTATCTTTAGCAATCTCATCTAACCTCTCATTAATTTCTTTTATGTTGCGAGCAATGCCATGGTACCT